CAAGGCTCTATGAAATGTTATTTTTCTCTCCAAGTCAGAGCTAAATGCAAACTCTTATTCAGTAGAAATGACTTGGCTTTGTCTCCTCTACAGACCTGTGTTCTGTGGGGTCATATCATCTACAGTGTAAGAAGAGAGGAAAGAACTCCATAGGTGGGTTGAGGATGAAGAGGCAGCCTAGGCCTGCCAATTAAGTGAGAAAGAGGGCAGCTGGAAGCCTCGTGGCTGCTACCTGGTGCCCCTCTTGGGTAGTCAAGGACCTAACATACCAACCTGCACTGTGGTCCGTTCCATTCATTGGACAACTTCATTGTAAGATATCATTGATACTCATCCTTGTCTTGTATGTTGCTATACAATTTAGATGCAAACAATAAAAATGGAGCGTGTCTCTTTTCCTGAACCACGCAGATTTCACATATTGGATTTCTTTCATTTCCAGATTTTTATCTTCGATTTGGCTAAGAAATAGGGCCTTCTACATTTTTATTTAAATGAGCAACTACTAAAAAATTTCTGTGTCCTTCATCTTTGCATCTACTATGATGACAGTAACTATAGACAGGATTAACATGATGGGAAAAAACAGGCTTTTTCTTACAATATTGAAAAACTGTGTGCCCTGCACATATGTTCCTGTCTCCCTCAGCACTTCTGGAAGACACTGCCATTTGTCAGGAAGTCTGCTTCTTCAGCATCCATCACTCGCTGTGCCTTTGCTCTGATGGATCCTTCTGCCAAGCCCTTAGAGAAAACAGTCTTGTACTTGTTTCTGGAATTCTTTCCCATGTGGGTTTCAGATCAACAGTGACCATTACTTTTATTGTCACTATCATGATCACTGTCATCATTAGTATGAGCCCCTGCCCTCACAGGGCATATACATGCAAGATGCTCTATAAATGTTTAAAGCGTTAGTGTGCACAAGATGAGAAGCCAGCAAATGTTTGGTGAATGAGTGAAAGAATAAATGAGTTTCCAGCTCTCCTTCTCCATAAAGCACAATCCCGTCTTTGTTCCCATTTTATGCAGTCTTCCTTCAACTCTCTGGGAAGGTATATCTTTGCCTGAAAAACAGAGCTCCTACAGGCTATTTCACTGAGCTCACTCTCTCCTCTCCTCAGTTTCTTTCTCTACAGGTGTGTGCATCAAGCCACTAAGATTTCATCAAAGATTTCATCCCCTCTACCTACACCCAACAGGACCAGGGAGAGAACGAGGCAAGAGAGGCACCTTAAGCACAAAGTTTAAGGAGGTGTCACCCTCAGGGCCATATATGTGTAAGAGTACCAGGTATGTGTAAGAATATCAATCCACCCAGGCAGGCACTCCCTCAAACCCAGTCTTCCTGCCACCTCACAGTACTGCTGCCTATGCTGGCTAGCAAGGGATGGGGGGGTGGGCTTGAGGTTCCCACCCAGAGCAGCAGCCTTTGGGACTGGCCAGTCTGTGGTGGCATGGTGACAGCTGGCAGATCATGCAGGCAGTTGGTTAACTCTGTGGGAACCATATAGATGAAGACAACCAGGAAAACAGGGCTTAGGTGGGGTCCTTCCTGTGCTCTCAACCCCCATCCTGCAACACTTCCTTGAAGTGGTGTCCAGAGGCTCGCCCATTCTGCCCTCTTCCCTCACCCTTGGCTCTTAAAGAGCCTGCTGAGTGCCCCTCCTTTCTGTCTGGGGCTCTGCCTCTGCCTCCTTCCCTGCCCACTCTCTTCTCTCCTCAAACACCCCATTTTTTGTCCCTTCCTCATCTCTCCCCCTGGAAGAAACCTGGTCCCATTCTGCCATTAGGCCAGTCCAAGGAGAGAGAGCAAGTGTGAGAGGACAGAGTCAGGGCATCACATGCACATGGGACAATTTTCACACCCACCCAAATTCCACTCAACCCTAAATCTCTGCACCAGACAGCTCTCATGGTTAATATGAACTCAGGCAGCTGTTTTGCCACAGTTAAAGCCTGCTCTCCATTCCAGCCCCCCAGCAAAGGTAGGCTGATGGTGCTTAGTCCCTTTGGCATGGCAGATGGAGCTACTGTACCTGCCCAGACTTCCAAAGGGTCCCTCAGGAACCTGGGGAGCAACCCCACTGCCAGCTGCTCCCTCAATTAAGGAATGTGGGAGTGGCCCCTTTGAACTCACCAGCTAATTTACTCCAGTGCAAACCCCACCTGTAGCTGGGTAATTACTATGGTCTGAACCAGTGATTAGCAGCGAGGGGGAAACCTGCCACCACAGACTTAACCCTTCTTGCACCTTCCTTGGTCCATTTTCTCTAATTGTCACACACTCTGAAGTTTTTCCCTTTGGGGAGGTGGGATACTTTCCAGTTCTCCCTGACCTCCCCCTCCCTCTTTCTCAGCTTCCCTGAAATTCCCCTGAAGGAAAAGGGCAGGAAAGAGTGTAATCCATTTCCTGCTCCAATGGACTACTCTATACAGTTGTGCAAGGAGGGAGTATGACTGTCCACTGTTGCCCCCCTCCCAAGAAATGAAGCATCTGTATTTCCAGCATTTTCTCAGCCTCCTGGTCCCAGGCCTGACACTTCAGATTCATTCATCCCACTTCAACCACATTCTTGGAGGGTACCACCTCAGGGAAAGCCGTCCTTGGTGATATAAGGGGGCAACAACGAAGGGCTTCACAGAGCTCCCAGCCTGGGAGGAGAGAGTGGGAGCAGGGGCTGCTCACACCTCAACTGGCCCTACCTGCATTTACCCAGCTCTCCTCTCTTCCATCTCTCTGGCCACTTAGTAGCAATAGTTAATATTTTTTGAGTGCTGACTATGCACCAGACCCATTCTGTACATTCACATGTGCTGCTATTGCCTCACTGATTATGAGTACTGGGATATATAACCTGTTTTCTCATCAAAACTGCAGACTCCTTGAGGGCAGGGGCTATGCCTTTTCTCTGTGTTTCCCCATCACCTAGCTCATTAGTAGATGCTCAATAAGAATCTGACACATGAGTGACAGAGTCATCATAGCAATGGAGTCATGATTGCCTTCTCTTGTCCTCTCTGCCCTAGAGCCAGGAGGCTTCTATCAGGACTCCTGCTCTATCCCTTTCTCTCTAGAGATTTCCTTTCTACCTCAGGCAGGATCATCACAAGAGCTGCTCCCCAAGTGTCCCTGCCTCTTTTCTTTCTGTCAACCAGCCCTACATAGTGTCTTCCCACCACCCAGTTAGCCCCAGCTTAAAATGGGCAACAGCTTCCTCCCTCCAAGGGGTGCTACTCAGAGCTTTTACTTGGCCCCACCAGCTTCAGAATCACCCAGAGTAGAGAGCTTGTTCCTGGAACCCCTCCAAGCCACACTAAACTAGAATCTCTGAGAATCCAAGTATTCTACAAGGTTGAAAGCCACTAGTCTCCAGAATAAAAGCCTAATATTTAACCCAGTATTCAAGGCCCCTAGAATCTGACTCCCAGCCACCCTCTCCATTCTTCCACATCAGCCCTAAAGGATTCCTCCCCAAGGTCCTTAATGGTCACTGCAGCTCATTTAGGCCTTCCCAATGTCAAGCTTTACACACTCAGCTGTCCTCTCATGCTCAGAGCTGAACCCCAACCATTTTCTCAGCCTATCCAAAGCATGCCCATCTTCAAAGTGCAGTTCTTTTAAGGAAGTGTCCCCGTCCACATCCATATAAATCCTTTCCCCACACCCTCCAGCAACACAGACAGCCTGTGCTACCATCAGCACACGGCCATACCTCTCTGCCATGGGCCTTCACTTCCCAGGTAGACTTGTTTCCACAATGTGAGTTTGAGTCCCTGGAGGGCAGGAACCTCATCCCAGAATCCTCCTGTTCACCCCTCGCCCTATCTGTCTGGTTCCCAATTGGGTCCAAAGTGGACTGTCCAGTTTGAAATCAGGTCAGAAGCTGTGCAGAACTGGACACTGCAAGCCATGTTAGGGACACACAGGAAATTTTCTCATCTTCTCACAAAGCTTCCCTGACTTAAGAAACCAAGTAACTCAAAGTGAAAAGAGAAATAGGTTGAAAAGATGATTGCCAGCAAAATGGACCACACTTTGAAGGTTGAAGTTCAAGTCCCAGCTCTGACATGGTGTGACCTCCACAAGGTTCTAACTCTGGTTGTCAAATTCCCCATTTTTAATGGGGCAACAACAAGATCCTCTCAGAGAACAGTTGTAAAATTCCAGGAAACAAAATATACAACCATGTCTAGAATCTATGCACTCATTTAACAAATGTTTATTAAATACCCATGATGTGCCAAGGCCAAGGGGAGCACAGAAATGAACTGAAGACCTTGCCAGCAAACCATCTGTAAATACAGGAAATTGTTACAAAACAATGTGCTGAGAAGAGGAAGTTCCTCACTCTGCCTGTGGTGGGAAGGCTTGAAGGGGAGCCTGGCTGGCTGCATGACCATGTCAAATCCAGAAGGATAAATGGATCAGCATGCCTGGCAGAGGAGCAAGTGCAATGTCTTAGAAGTGTGCAATTGGTAGTCATGAGAAGAGGCTGTTCTGGTGTGGCTACAGAGTAGGATGGACATGGCAGACTAGCCTGGGGAAGCAGGTTGGAGTTCCCACTCTTAGTAGAGCCTTGTATGCTAAGCCGAGAGTACAGTCTTTATCTTGAGTGTAGCAGGAGGCCATGGAGGAATTTTAAGCAGAAGAGAAATGACAATGAAAATTGCAGTTTAGAGCTCTTTGAGGCTGCAACCAGAAAGTCAGGACAGGGTGAAATGTATGGAGTTCTGGAGGGAGGGAAACAGGGAGAGAGGAAAGAAGAGGAAAGAAAGAGACAGAGAGAGAGAGTCAGGATAGGATGTGGGCTTGTGTAGGGGCACTTGTGGCTTGTAATTCCATAGCCAACCAAAAGCACATGAGAGAGACTGACTTACAAGAAACAACTCCTGAAAGAATTCAGCAAGGCCTGCAGCCAACTTCCACTTTACTCTGAATATTTCAGTTTCGGGGCATCTTGTTATGAGTCAAGATTCCTCCTTCTGAACATGGGACTTTCCAGAAGGACTACAGTTCCTTCCATGCATCCACTTGACTTAGGATGTTCTGGATTTTGGTTGTCGGGGGAGTTTGCCTGCCTCTCTGAAGAAGGATGGCTGTGTGGTCCCTGTGGAGTCTGCTTCTCTGGGCAGGTAGGTGGGGCAAGGGAGTGGCCTGTCCTCAAAGGGCTGACCCATCCAGCTGCCCCTCACCAGACATCTGGACAGGGTCTCCCATCCAAAGTAAGAGCCCAGGAGCAAGTTTTGGGGCAATGTTGAAAACTAGGCAGAGGCAAAGGAAGGTGGGGTCCCGGGTAGAAAAAGGCAGCAGCACTGGGAGAATACATGTTAGGAGACTCAAGCTGTTTTGTTGCCCAGGGCAATTAAACCTGAGACTGGTGGTACCAGTGGTTTGGAAAGAGATGGCTTTGGGAATGGTAAGGGTCTGTCAATGTTACCACATGAGAATTCTAAATACAGTCTGGGGAGAGCAGTGGAGGGCAGGGAAGAGCAGAACTCTTTCAATCTAAGGATGTTTTTCCAAGAGCCTGTGGGAAACTTGAGGCCCTTCCTGAGGTCTGTCTAAGAGGAGGTGGATACTGAGTAGAGATGAGAGGCAAGAGCAAGTTTAATGTAGCATATGTGGACCTGGAGTGGCCAATAATGGTGTGATAAGATGCTTACTTGTTAGGTCTCTTTGGCACTGGGCAATCCTGCCATTCTGTCTGGTGCCTGACTTCCCTTCCTTTGTTAAGAAGTATTCAGTGTGGCACAGGTCAGCTCCGCAATGCCAGGGGATAGGAGAGTTGTGGGAAGCATCAGGGAAACTTGATGTTTCAAGAATGAGCAGAATTTAGCCAGTGAAGGAAGCAGGGGGCAATTCAAGCAGAGGCATCACCCGCACACTTCAAACTCAATACGTTTCCAGCAACACTCAGCATCCTGCCACCTCCCTCTCCCCCAATTCTGTCTCTCCTCCTGTCCTGGACTACATAAAATGACACCTTCTGGGTCCCAAGGACCTGGGAGCCATCCTTGACTTCTTTATCCTTTGCTCCTCGGATCCAGTCTGTTATCAGATCACATTGATTATGCATCTTTATCTCTCAGTTCCTGCCACTTCTACCTGTCTCAGTTGATCCCCCTCACTACAAGTTTTCATCTCTCACTTTTGGAGTAATAGAAGCAACCTCATTCTTGCCCCACCTACAATGCATCTTCTGACCCTCTGCTGGAGTGGTCTTTCTAACATGCATTTAATCCTGTTACTTTCTTACTTAACACCTAGTCTATGGCCCCCATTACTTTCAGGATAAAGCCCAAATGGCAATGTCACTTTCAGGGCCTTGCATGAACTAGCTCCCTACAATTCTGCAGTGCAATTTCTCACTCCCCCTGCAGAAAACTACTTTCAGTTCCCTGTGCACCATGCTGTCTCACCCTCTAGGCCTTTGTATACACTGTCCCCTTTTCCTGTAATATTTCCTATCCCCACTCCAGGCAGCCCTCTGCTTGGCTTGGCTGATTCCATTTCTCCTTGGGGTCTCAGCTTAACCATTTCTTCTCTGAACTCTTCAAGGCCAGGTAAGGTCACATTATCACCCTGCCTGTGTTCTCCCAGAGCACTCCCTTTTTTTCCATGGTACTTAGTATAGTTTAACTGCTTGCTTAAGAATCTGACTTCCTCTGTGAGTTCCATGAGCCAGGTACCAAATTATTTTTCTTATTGTTTTATTCCCAGCCCCTGACACAGAACATTCTCAACTGGGGTGGGGGAAGGGAGAGGGGAGGGGCCCCAATTTGCTCCATGCTGCTGCATGCAGGAGAGAGATACAAGGAGCTTGGGGCAGGCAGTGACATGGCTCTGTTCTTGCAGCACCATTTCCTGTTGCAGTTTCTGGTGCCCAAGTGCAGGGCCAGGTCGGGGGCTCGGTGCTGCTGGTGGCAGAGCACTACCCTGGCTTCCAAGTTCGAGAGGCCATCTGGAGATCTCTCTGGCCTTCAGAGGAGCTCCTGGCCACATCTTTCCGGGGCTCCCTGGAGACTCTGTACCATTCTCGCTTCCTGGGTCGAACCCAGCTGTACAGCAACCTGAGCCTGGAGCTCCGGCCACTGGAGGCTGGAGACAGCGGCAACTTCTCTGTGTTGCTAGTGGACACTGGAGGTCAGACCTGGACCCAGACCCTGCAGCTCAAGGTGTATGGTGAGTGTGCCTGACACTGGCTCTCTGCCCTGCTTCCCACCACAAAGCCCTGGAAAGGCAGCCTGAGTCCTGGGAACTGGAAAACTGGATTCTGAAAACCTTGGGCCTCTGACTTCATGGTTGATTCAGAGACCAGCTGCTCTCCTGCAGCCACATCTAAGAAAATCCTCAAGTTCTCCCAGGTGAGCTCCTATCTGCAGCAGCCCAGATCTGCCCACTACAGTTCTTGTCCGAGCTCCAAATTGATATTTTCTTAGTTCAGTGGCCTTGGACATAATACTTAGCTCTTGCATCAGCCTTCTCATTAGTAAAGCAGACACCATGATAATATTATCATATAGATGTTCATAACAGTGAGATACAATGGTACTTGAAAAAGGATCTAGGACAGAAGCTAGCCTATACACTTCATCAGTTTGAAGGTATCAGTTATGATGTGCCATTATTTTATGTACCACTAAAAATGAAAAAATACTACCAATTAAATGGACACAATATTCTTATTTTAAAAAATTGAATTATAATTCAACTGTAGTTAAAAGTATAGAATTTTTATTTTATGTTTTTTAAAAGAGTTCTTTCTGATTGATATAGAGATTTTAACTATATAACATTCAGGGTTCTTTCAGTCACTCATTGTTGCAAAACAAATGGCTAAAAATGACTTTTTTTTATTTCTTACAATTCTGTGGGTTAGCCTGGCTTAGCCAGGAAGACCTCTACTCCACACGGTTATGCCAGGGACATTCATGCAGGTGCATTCAGCACCTCAGCTCAGGTGGCTGAATTCACTGGGGGCAAGAGGGCCTTTCTTTCCAGGAACTTTACCTCCACCTCCATCACAATGACATCTACCCTAACCTCTACCACTATCACTACCTCCACATCCACCCTCCACCATCAACACCTCCCCCTTTTCCACCTCCCTCCTCCATCACCTTCACCCTTAGCTCTACCACTGTCACCACCTCCACCTCTACTACCATCTCCATCATTACCTTTACTACCACCACTACTTCTACCTTAACCTCTACCACCATCTCTACCTCCACCTCCACTGTCACCACCTCCACCACCTCCTTTACCACTATCACTACCACTACCTCCACCTCTTCCACCTCCACTATTACCTCTACCTCCATGATATTTCTGCTAGTCAAGAAAAAAAAAAGGTCTTCTAGCTCTTTATTTATCTACCTAATGGCTTGGAAATGATGTGAGTGACCCCAAAGCACAATTTCAGTAAAACCTCCAAAATTTGGTAGAGGGGAAGAAAAGGTCCAAATTTAAGAATGGAGAGTAAGAGTGACAGCTAGGAGAAAAACAATGGAGGAGAGAAAGGCAGTAGCAAATTAGGAGAGAAACATCCCCTGCCCTGAAAGAGCTAACTGGCTGTCCTTGGGTATGCCAATCAGGTGCTGATATGCAATTAGATGGGTGTCCTTCTGGGTGCATGCAGCCCTGAACCAGGCGTACAATTTGGCATGCAGAGTGCTGCCTAGATCTCAGAACCACCACCTTCACCTATCACCCCCTTAGCCAATGCACTTGTGTGGTGAATAACAGACAATACCATACAGGCAGCCCTGGAGCTTCTCCCTTGTTCTGAGTCTCAGCTGCTGCACATGTAAAATGAGGACATTAAAAGTGATAATATATACAGTGCTTACACCACTAAGCTCTAAAATACTTTGTTCTCAGCATCTGAATTACAAATTTAAGGAAATTGCTATTTTATTGCTTCCAAATACATAGCTAGATTAGAACTAATTGCACAAAGCTGCCACACAGCTGTCCTTAGGATCTCTGCTTTGACAATAGATAAAAGAAACAGATCAGTTAATAGAAATGCCAATGGTGTTTCTACTGTGTCCTTCAGGTTTGGAAGCAGCTTCTCATAAGTAGTGTAAATAACTCCCCCTGTAATCTTTATTTATACTATTAGTGTGTCCACCAAATTTTTACTTTTTTTTTTCATAGCACAAATCCTAACATATTGAGCTGGCATTAGTGAAGTTTTATTCTGCTGGACTTTGAAATGCTGTCAGACACTGAGTCCACTCACTGTTACCAAAATGCTTTCCCGCTGGCCCCCATTGCCATGGAGACTCAGAATTCACTCATCAACCTGTATAGAAAATGGGAGCCACTACCTAGGTTACAAGGACACCAATTTGTTTAATGGCCCAGGTAGCTGAGCACCTAGAGAGTGAGGGCTATGGAGGTAACAAGACAGAACCCCTTCAGAGCATTTTGTACCATTGTAACTATTTTCTTAATTATTCATAATCACTTGTCAGTATTTGTCTTCTCCAAATTCCAAAAGTCCAGGAATGCGTATGTTATTCTGCCTGACTTAATCAATGCTTATTGTCTCTCTGACCACTCTATCATGAGAAAAGTGCTAGGACAAGGGACAGACAGGATGCTTGGAGAGGTCAGTACCATACCTGGAGTATCAGGGAAAGCTTCACAGTCAGGGCAACAAGCAATGTGTCCAAGCTGAGCCCAGGAATTTTCTAGCAGGACAAGTAGAGAAAGATACATGTGCACAGCTTAGACTTATGAAGCAGAAAGAGCATGACATGTTTGAGAGAATGGAAATTAATTAGAATAGGTGGGGAGGACCAGCAGAAGCGATAGCTGGAGAAGTTTACATCAAGGATTTTTCATTCCAAACTAAGGAATTCAATTTTTGTCCTGTGGTTAGTTAGAAGCCAGACAAGGTTTTGGGGCAAGAGTAGACTAGACAGAGGTGGCATCTAACTCTCCATGGATCCCAGAGCCAGAGCTGTGGGCCGTGCCCAGCATCCCTGTAACCCATACCTGCTCTACTGTTCTTGCCCAGATGCAGTACCCAGGCCTGTGATACAAGTGTTTATTGCTGTATCTGAGGATGCTCAGCCCCCCAACACCTGCCAAGCATTCCTGTTCTGTTGGGTTCCCAACATCAGTGATATAACCTATAGCTGGCAACAGGAGGGGACCGTTGACTTTGGTACCAAGCCACATGGCCTCTTCATGGATGGACAGGTGTTGAGGGTTTCACTGGGACCAGGAGACAAGGCTTTGGCCTATTCCTGCATTGTCTCCAACCCTGTCAGCTGGAACTCGACTGTAGTCAACCCCTGGGAGAGATGCCATCATGAGGCAGGTATGTGACGGGCCAAGGGTCAGTGTGGGGTGGTGGAGCATCAAGTCCATCTCTGACCCTACCTCTTCCATGTCCTGCACCAGGGAAGGCTTCCTACAAAGATGTGCTGCTGGTGGTGGTGCCTGTCTCATTGCTCCTGATCCTGGCTGGTCTCCTCTCTGCATGGCACTGGGGCCCCTGCTCAGGTGGGAGTACTGCAGGTGCTGGAGGTGGGTGGAGGAGCTGAATCTTCTAGAAAGGAGGGCAGAGTATGGATCTCCTCTTATTTGCCCTCAAGAGGTCTACCCTCCTTACCTCTCTCACCTCATCTCTTGGCCCTTTCTATCATGTATTCTATCCCCCAATAAGACTTGAAGTTCTTTTGTAGTTCTTCAGATGATCTATTCTTTTACGTATATCTTCAATCCTTTGTCCATTCCATTTTCTCTGTCTGAAACACACTTTCCATGATTTTCCACTCAACTCCTTCATTGGGTTATCTCCTATATGATCTTCAAGGTGTGCCTGTTCCAGGAAGCATTCCTGACCTTCTTCCCTACCCCCAGAATGGATTAGTGTCCTGCCTTTAATGTCCATTGCTTACCCTAATCACAGCTCTTACTGCATTTACGCTACCACTCGATTCTCAGCCCTTTAAAGGCAAAGGCTGGGTCACCACTGGGCATTTAGCAATTGTTCCTGTTACATAGCTGGTATCAAAAAACGTTTGTTGACTGAAAGTCTAGTTGAATCCCAATCCATTGTTTCCAGGAAATGCTCACTGAGCAAAGTGTTTCTGTGACCAGGAGTTGATAGGGCCCCCTTCTCTAGGAAAAGAGGGAAGGGGAAACTCGGAGGTTAGCCAGGTTCTGAGCTTTATACCCATCAGCCCTACTTTTGTCCCAGAATGCTCTGCCATTGAAAGAAACAGCTCCAGTGGCCTGGGCTTCATGGTCATGCGCACCCCAGGCTGTATGACCTTGCTGGCCCCAGGGTGGAAAGAGTGAGTAAGCAAAGAGAGAAAGCAAGGGACCTCAGCCACTCAGCATGGAGCTGGGGTGGGTGACTGGTTCTTGTATATTTTTTCCCTAGAGGAGAGGGGTAGAGCAGCTGAGATCACATGCCACCCAGGGAACCTGTGTTCCTCCAGGCAGTTCTCAGAATTCATGGTAAGAAGATAGAGCCAAGAAAAGAGCAGCTTTTGATTTCAACAGCTTTATTGATATATAATTCACATACCTATACAACTCACCCATTTAAAATGTATACAGACTAGTGGCTTTTATTGTATTTACAAGAGTTGTGTATCTATCATCACAATCAATTTTAGAACATTCTCATTACCCCAAAAGCCAACCCCCAAACCCTTTAGCCATCACTCCCTAATCCTCCCTTTCCCTCCAGGCCTAGGCAGTCACTAATCTAATTTCTGCTTGTATACTGTCTATTCTGGACAGTGCACTATATGGTTCTTTATGACTGACTTCTTTCACTCAGCTTAATGTTTTCAAGGCTTAGAAAAGAGTGGCTTTGGTCACCAAGAAGGGACAGGAAGAAGCCAACAGAAAGACTCCTCACAGGGAGTCCAGTGGCTGGCCCTGATTCTGCCATTTAGCTTCTGGCCATTCATTTAACTGGGTCCATTCCAGCTCTAATTTTCTATACTTTTTACAGCTAAATGTGTGTCATAATTGCAGAGGAAGGCTAAACATTAGGAAGAAATTCCTATCCTTGAAGCATCTCCTTTTCCAGGGTCTTGAAAAGCCAAGGGGGGAAACAGTGGGGAGGGTTTTGTTTTGTTTTGTTTGCCCAAGGTAATCTTGGTCCAGGACAATTGAGATTCAGAGGTCTTGGGCCAAGTGAAGGATGCTAAGATTTCAAACATTGGAGGGGTAACCTTTTTTCTTATCTCCTTTCCAGGAAAGAAGAAGAAGGATGCCTGTGTTAATGGCATGGCTCTAGAGACAGAGAACCCCCTTGTGTAGATCTGCCATGAGAAAGAAGATAAATTGATGCCAGATCATGAGGAACTCCACTGCCCAGGCACATGATGGTCTGGGACATAGTTGAGACCTTGAAACTACCAGGGTTCTCGTACCTCCTGTGACACTTTGTCCCACATCCCAGGAGCAGCCTGGGCAGTTGTCACATTGGGAGGACAGAAAATACTAGCATGACCATCCACACCATCCACCTTCCCTCTCCCCTTGTTGCATGTCCTGGCTCTGGTCTTGGCAAGTTGGACCAAAGAGTATATTCTCTAAAGGACACTGGGCAGTCTTCAGGGCCCACAGGGACAGTGATTGTCCAGGGAATTCATGTCCTACCACTGCTCATGAAGTATTGTTATAGACTGAATTTGTCCCCTCAAAATTCATATGTTGAAGTTCTAACCCCCAATATCCCAGAATATGACTATTTGGGGATAGGGGCTTTAAATAGATCATTAAGGTTAAATGAATTCATTGGAATGGGGCTTTAATCCAGTGTTCCTGGTGTCCTTATAAGAAAAGGGAGAGACACCAGAAATACACACACACAGATACAGCCATGGGAGGTCACAAAGAGAATGAAACCATCTGTAAGCCAAAGAGTGAGGACTCAGGAGAAACCAAACCAGATGGCATGTTGATCTTGGACTTTCAGCCTCCAGAATTATGAGGAAATAAATGTCTGTTGTTTAAGCCACCCAGGCAGTGATAACTTGTTATGATAGCCCTGACAGACTACTTAACCAACAAGCACAGAAAGGTTGCCTCCAACCTGGGTCCCCAGCTTTAAAAGACATTAGGCCTCTGAAGTAACTGTGAATCTCTGAACCACCCACTTCCATCCCCAGTCCCATCCCCTACAGTTTAAAACCTTGACACTTCCTGATGACCAAAGCATTATCATCAGAAAAAGTCTAGAAACAGGTGAAGGTGGGATGCTTTCTCTTTTTGGTTGGAAAGACTTTCAGATCATCTGAGTTCATGACCATCAAAGATAATTTACAGTTAATTATAGACAATCAAAGGGTGGTTGATATACCATGGTTGAGATGGGTTCCATTTTACAGTTAACACCTTTTTATATAGAATGGAGGTCAAGGTGGCTGGGTCAAAACAAGATAGTGAGTTTGTTTTTGTTTTGTTTTGTTTCTTATCTTACATATGAGTGACATCATATGGCTTTTGTCCTCTTCTGTCTGACTTATTTCATTCAGGATAATACCCTCAAGGTCTATCCATGTTGTTGCAAATGGCAGTATTTTATCATTTTTTATGGCTGAGTGGTATTCTATTCTACATATGTACCACATCTTCTTTCTCCATTTGTCTTTCACTTAGGTTATTTCCATATCTTGCTGCAATGAACACAGGAGTATAAGTTAGTGTTCTCATAGTCTTCAGATAACTACCCAGAAATGGAATTTCTGGATCATATGGTAGTTCTTAATTTTATGAGGAACCTCCGAACTGTTTTCGTAGTAGCTGCACCAATTTGCAATCCCACCAACAATGCATAAGTATTTCCTTTACTCCAAATCCTAGCCAACACTTATTATTTCTTGTCTTATTGATATTAGCCATTCTAAGAGGTATGAGGTAGTATCTCATTGTGATCTTGATTTCCATTTTCTTAATAATTAGTAATGATGAGCATCTTTTCACATGCCTATTGACCATCTATATGTCTTCCTTGGAAAAATGTCAATTCAGATTCTCTGCCCATTTATTAATTGGGTTGTTTGAGGGTTTTTTGCTCCTAAGTTATATGAGTTCTTTATATATTTTATATATTAACCCCTGATTGGAAGTATTTGAAATATTTCCTTCCATTCTGTTGGTTGCCTTCTTGTTTAAAACAAAAATGTAACAAACAAACAAAACAACACAAAAACAAACTCAAAGGTAAAGGAAACAGAATTGTTGTTACCAGAGGGGAAGGGGGTGAGGAAAGGACACGATGGGTAAAGGTAAGGAATGGAAACCAGACTTTCAGTGGTGAGTATGCAATACAGTATACAGACTTTGAATTATAATGCTGTACACCTGAAATTTATATAATGTTATTAACCAATGTTACCTCATTTAAAATAAATAAATTAAATCTCTTTTTTAAAAAATAGGGTGGGAGTAGAAGAGGGGTCAGAGTGATGGCCTGGGACCACAACACATGCAACCTTGTGGAGTGAAGGTGGCCAAGACAGCTCATTTCTGTTTGGGCATCAGATTCCTCCCATGACAACATTTGTACTACCATTTCCAATAAGCTTATGGTCAGATAAGAATCCTCTCCAAGTCTGCTTTTGCTTTTCCTTGTTTTTATTATATTTTCTTTAAGAGCAAACTTCTGTACCTGTCCTTTTGTGCAAGGGACAAATGCAAGAGCTGCTGGGGCAAAGGCATCATGTGACATGATGTCACAGAGAATGGAGAGGGGGCCTACCAAAAGAAGGGTTAGAAAGACATTATTTTCATCAACAAAGACATGGCCACTCAATGCCTTGTTTAAAAACAATGCCTACAAACATTAATGACATCTCTGGCAGATCTTCCTTCCACATTTATTAAGAAGTAGCACCTTTTTGGTTCATCAGCACTTGGTTATTTACTGGCCTTTGGGGAAGAACCATCTCCCTCCAGCTATGACTCAGTGGCTCCCTGTATTTGTTCTGCATGCAACCTGACAGAGGGCATCTAAAACAGCATATCCCCAAATCCAGGACAGTCTCTGTGGGTGCCTCCCCTCAGGTTGTGCACTGCTCACACGGGTCTCATCTGCCAGAAGGGTGGGCTGAACACATAAGTGTGTAGTGGAGACACTCCTATTGCACAACTGGCCAGAGTCCATTTCTAGACACCACAATTCCAGGGGACACTGGAAAACTCCAATGTCCAGAAGAGAATGACCAGAATGGTAGAAAGTCTAGAAAACTTATCATAAGAGAAATGATAAGGATACCAGTCATGTTTCCCCTTGAGCAAATGTCTTAGAAGGCTCTAAGTCCTCAGGTATTTGAAGGGTTCTAATGTAAACCAGGTTGTGTAGCTGAGGCCAGAGGAACATGTCACTGAAAGGCAAAATATTGACTCATATGAAAAATAGGGTCTTAAAGCCAGAAGGAGACTTGTTGGTACTTAAAGTTTTTTATTTCTCAGGTGGAAAACTGAAGCCCAAAGTGATTGTTACTCTCTATAATCATAATTAACTTTAGGTTTTCTAAATCAGTCCAGCCCTTTACCAGAGAAAAACTTAATAACATATAGAGAAATCTAAATATGAAGTAAGCTGTTTCAATGAATATGCTTAAACAGAAACCGTCTCAGAACAATAATATATAGACTAAAGAATTTTCAAGTATTAGGCAAGAAGTTGTAGTCAATCAGGAATCTGCCTTCAAAGGCCATGTTGAACATGGATAATTAATAATGACACACCTTCCCCACTGAGTCCACATGTAGCACAACATTCAAGTAAATCCAACAATTAATTGAAATGAGGAGCCAAGATGAAACCAATTTCCCATTCCTTCCCTAGAAAACCCATAAATAAGATCCTTTTAACAATGAGAATGAATTATAAATTAAAGAAAGAATGAATGAATAGGCAGTGTAAAAAAAAAAAGAAGTCAATGAAAGGACCTGACTAGGGTGTCAGAAATAATCTGTGCTTCATATAAAAAAGAGTTAATCTAGTTTCCTTCATTCTGCCATTTTCCTCAATAAATCACTCAGAAAATATATCAGAACTGGAAACAAAGGAGAGCTCAATGGGAAGTAGTAATACTATTGCCATGAAAGTGCAACACAGCATGAAATCCACCAAATAAATTAATAAAATAATATGGCCATTTAAGAAATCATGCTCTCTAGAATATTTAAGAATACTGGAACAACACTTATATCAGTTAGAGTTCTCTGAATGCAAGCAAAGAAGCCAGCTCTGGTTTTAACTAAAGCAAAAGAAGGAATTATTAGAAAGTTGTGGGTAGGAGAAAAAAAGATGGCGGAGGAGTGAAAGGGAGTCACACTGACCTCCTCTCAAAACCAAACTGGAATTGCAACTAAATAATGGAGTAATCACCTGGAAAGCAGTGGAGCGATAGTGGGAGAGGAGCCTTGGTGCCGCGGACAGCGGATTCGACTCTCACACATCCCAACGGGTGAGAATTGCGGTGGAGGCTCGAGAGGGTGGGCTGGGTGCGCACGGGCACTGGCACCAGAGGGACATTGAAACAGCCAGTTAGCGTCCCCCCGGGAAGAACGGGGTCTGAATCATAAACAGGAACCCCTAAACTACAGCCGCTAAAGCCGAGAAAATACAGACAAAACGCAACCCCAAAAAGCTTAGGGGCACTCTCTGCCAGAGACAAGTGGCTGGGGATGCAAAAAGACATTTAAAGGGCAAACGCAAAAGTTGCAGCGGCAGCCACCCTCCTTGATCGCTGGGTACAGGCGGCAGCAGGGTGGGCTGGTGCCTGGGAAAAGACTGGTGAGGAAAACTTTGTGAAGAGAACTGACTCTGCGGCCGGTGGAGCCCGGGTGATAACGCACTTCCCACTCTGCAGCTACCATCTCGCTCAGGCATAAGGGAATCAATTAACCTGCCTTTTGTGCGCTCCGCACACAGCTTGTGCGCCTGTGACCTGCGGGGCTGAGTGCAGACTGTCTGGGAGAGCCTTGAGGAGAGACTGGAGACAGTGGCGTTGGGGAAAGAACGGGAGGAGGAACCGGGGAGTCCCGACTCCCTCCCCGTTCGGTAGTCTCCATTGTGGGCTGGAAAGGCGCGACCCCAAAGAGGCAGAAGCGGGGCGCGCATGAACCAGACTGCCTGCGATTGAAACGCAGTCCGCACAGGGGTTGGATCCTCAGCCGAAGGGGTCACAGAACTGCCCAGAGGCCCCTGAGGGGGGACTAGAAACGGAGGCATTGGGGAAAGAACGGGAGGAGGAACCGGGGAGTCCTGACTCCTTCTCCTTGCCGAAGTCTCCATTGCGCGG